ACCTTATATAGGTGGGTAGGGTCAATTATGGGTCGATCCTCATAAAATTTGGTAGACAGAATTTGGTTCGTATTAAATTTATTTGTGTCGAGCATTAATGAGCGTTGCTGTCATTTTCTGATGGGGACCCTTATATGGGGGGTAGGGTCAATCATGGACCGATCCTCATAAAGTTTTTTAGATAGATTTTGACTCGTATGAAACTTACTTATGTCGAATTTCATCTACATACTAGTATTTTTAAGCCAGTAATAAGCATTAAAGTCATTTTCTGAAGGGGACCTTATATGGGGAGTAGGGTCAATTGTGGACCGATCGTCATAAAATTTTGCACAGTGATTTTGAATCATAAGAAACTTACTTATGTCGAATTTCATCGCTATATTCGTATTTTTAAACAAGTTATGACTGTTAAAGCTGCTTTTCGAGGGTCCACTTGTAAGGGGCTATCCGAAAACGTGGACCGATATTGCCTATTTGTAATACCAAACAAACCTTACCCATAAGAAATATTTATGTGAAATTTCAAATCTCTAGCTCTTTCCATTCGGACTCTATCGTGCTTTCAACAGACAGACAGACGGACGGACGGACGGACGGACAGACGGACGGACGGACAGACGGACGGACAGACATGGCTAGATCGTCTTAGAATTTAATGAGGACCCAGAATATATATACTTTTGTGGGTCTATGACCAATATTTCGATGTGTTACAAACGGAATGACAAAATCAATATACCCCCATCTTTTTTGATGGTGGGTATAAAAATAAGTTCAAATCATTTCTTTCCCTAAAGAAGCAACGACTGGATAATTACTGTGACATTCGTTTTTGATGTGCTGAATACTCCAGATATATCATTCAAACAAATTGTTTGCAATATTTTTGGAATTTGTTTAGTTTTTAAATATAATAAATCATTATCGACATATGTATATATATATTATACATATGTATATATGTGTATGTATTAATTTGTGCGAAAAAATATTTAGCATTATCAGTGGTCATTTTAAAAAAATTATTATATATATTTTTATATATATATATGAATTGGTCTTTGGACTAAAGTTCAAGCCGTTGTTTGCCATTCATAGACATTTCCAATTAAAATGTAAATATTTTAAAAGATCTTGATCAGCCTTGAAGTAAATAAGATTCTTGTTAAAACTGATGCAATTACAACAATGAATTTTTCTGTGAAATGTAAATGAAAAGTATAATTTTGAGTTTAATAACACAGGCCAACAAATTAAAAATAATTAATAATACATATTAATATGAACATCAGGGTAATATTTGAAAGAGGGCATTTAATAAAAGCTTAGGTATGCACCGTGCTCTTCCAAATTAAACAAGTAAGAAAGTATAGTCGAGCGTGACCGACCATATGATACCCTACACCAGTTATGAATATTAAATGTGATCTATTTTTCATAATAAAGCATTTATCTGGAATATTACCTTGATTCCGATTTATTTAAGCAATTTATTGACGAAAAACAAAGTTTCTGAAAGAGGCTTTATATGGGGGGATAGGAGCAAATGTGAACCGATCCCGATAAAATGGGCTGGTTAGATTTATATTTATATAATAATTGTCTGTGATAAATTTCATTGCAATAACAGTGTTAATAAGTGAATTGCGGATATTCAATCATTTTCCGAAGGGGGGCTTTGTATGGGGCTATGGTCAAATGAAGTCCGATCATTTAGAAATTCGGCAAGGTCATCAAGGCTTGTATAAGACGTAGTTGTGCGAACTTTTATCGAGATACATTTAATTATACAGAATTATGAGCTCAAAAGCCCTTTTCGGGGGGTTCAGTTATATGGGGGCTAGGTGAAATAATGGACCGATTTTAACCATTTTCAATAGGCTTCATCTTTGGGATGCCATGTATGCCAAATTTCATCAAATTATCTTGAAAATTGCGACCTGTACTTTGATAAATCAACTCAGAAAGTGATTCTGAGTCGATCGGTATACTTAAAGGTGGGTATAGTACTAATATTTTAGTGCGTTACAAACATCAGCACAAACGCATAATACCCTTGCCACTATAGTGGTGTAGGGTATAAATATTATTATTTTTTTTTTGGTCCAATTGGACTATAAACTGTTTTTTTGTAAGAGTGCTTATATGGAGGGTAAAGTCAATTATGGACCTATCCTCATCGGCTTATACAATAATTAATTATATTGAATTTCATTGTAGTACCCGTATCTTTAATGTAGTCCGGAGGATTAAAGAAAATTTCTGTAGGAAACCGATAATGGGGGGGGGGGGGGTTGGATCAGTCATATACCGATCCTCATAAAATTCAGTTGAAAAATGTTCCTATAAAACTACCGTAATTTGGAAGAAGTATTTCGCTCAAAACTAGTTTATGTCGAATTTCATCACTGTACTCGCAGTTTTAAGATAGTAATGAGCGTTTAAAACAATTTTCTGAAGAGGACCTTATATGAGAGGTAGGGTCAATTAAGGACCGATCCTTATAAATTTTGATAGAGAGCTTTTGGCTCACACAAAACATATTTATGTAGAAATTCACCGCTGAACTCGCATTTTTAAGTTAGTAATGAGCGTTAAAGTCATTTTCTAAAGGGGACCTTATATAAGGGTCCCCTTCATTTATGAAAATGATTATAGTTCCTATAATAGTTTTTTATATCGAATTTTATTGCTATATATGTTTTTTTAATTTCAGATATGAGCATTAAAGTCATTTTCTGAAGGGCACCTTATATGGAGGGTAGGGTCCAGTTATGGACCGATCTTTATTAAATTTTATGAAGATATTTAAGTTCCTATAAATATGTTCCTTTCGAATTTCACTGCTATAGATGTTTCTTTTAGTCAGTTATGAGCGTTAAAATAATTTTCTGAAGGGGACTTTATATGGGGGGTTAGGGTCAATTATGGGCCTATCATTATAAAATTTAGCAGAGAGATTTAGGTTCCCATAAGATATAAATTTTACCGCTATAGATGATTCTTTCAGCCAGTTATGAGAGATAAAGTCATTTTCTCAAGTTGGCCTTATATGGGGGCTAGGCGAAATCGTGAACCGATATAGCCCATTTTCAATACCAAACATCAACTAAAAGTATCGGTGCAAAATTTGAGCTCGCTAGCCACTTTCATTTGGACTCTATCGTGTTTTCAACAGACAGACGGACGGACATGGCTAGATCGTCTTAGAATCTAATAAGGACCCAGAATATATCTGGTCAAAAAGATATTCTGATAGATCATTTCCGAAATATATTGTTTTAGCCCCATTGCAATGGGGTTTTTACAAGGATACTTTAAGACAAGAGCCACTTTTACTTGGACTCTATCGTGTTTTCAACAGACAGACGGACGGACATGGCTAGATCGTCTCAGAATCTACTTAATAAGGACCCACAATATATATACTTTTATGGGCCATAAAGGAATATTTCAATATGTTACAAACGAATGACATGAAAAAATAAACAGAAACTAAATCTTCAAAAGATATTCTGATAGATCATTTCCGAAATATATTGTTTCCATATTAGCCCCATTGCAATGGGGTTTTTACAAGGACTACTTTAAGACAAGAGCCACTTTCATTTGGACTCTATCGTGTTTTCAACAGACAGATGGACGGACGGACATGGCTAGATCTTCTTAGAATCTACTTAATAAGGACCCAGAATATTTATACTTTTATGGGTCTTAAAGCTATATTTCAATATGTTACAAACGGAATGACATAAAAAACATAAACAGAAACTAAATCTTCAAAAAGATATTCTAATAGATAATTTCCGAAATATATTGTTTCCTTATTAGCCCCATTGCAATGGGGTTTTTTACAAGGACTACTTTAACATTCGTATGAATATTTTCAAAAATGGGCTGACCATCAATAGTGGGCGTGGATCTCGCTTATCAACTAAAGACTAACTTTTTGTATATTTGGGAAACTATAATGGCAAAAGTCCTCACATTTTGTACGAATAATTTTACTGTCAGAATAAACATTTAGAACAGACGTGGGACCACCATGATTAGTGAGAGTGGTACCTCCCACATAAAAAAAAAATCTGTGAAACTATAAAAGTGTGTGACCTAACTATCCATTGAACTATTTATTAACAAAACGGACAGACCAACAAATAGTGGACATGGCCTTTCAAAATATTTTCAGAAGTATAACATAAACATAGTTACTGTATTATCACCAAATGCCACGCCCATTTAACATTTTGCGCATTTTTTTGTATAAACCCTTATATTGAAGAAATATTTTAAAAAATTCAAAGTTTCATGACTTTTTTCCATCTACATTGAGCACTCAGACCACTGTGCATTGTGCAGTTTAGATTACTGTTATTCTTTTTTCCGATGACATGTTGCCAACCACGCCTATTTAATTTGATTTTTTATAACAAACGTGTAAAAATTTTGTGTAAATAGCTAGAAAAGAATTTCTATTTAAAATATTTTATTTGCATTTGTTTAGAAAAATTAATTAAATAAATCTATTTGTAACTTTAATTAATATAATGCATTAATTAAGATTCTATTTTCAGAACATTAAATAAAAGGAAAATTTATAAAACTTGTTTGCAATAGTTTTATGCTTGATGAATTTTTAATAAAAAAAAAAACTAAAGAAAATTGAGATCATCTTTAATAGGGGTATTCACTTGTAATAGAAACTGTAATAAAAAGTTTAAAATTTGTAATTTTAATTCAAATAGCCATGTCTGTCCTTCCTTATATTGGAAACGAACAAAATCGGTCTTCATTTGATCGTAGCCTCCAAATTGGAGAGCCTAGCAATGGCGAACACCCCTATTAAACTGAACTTGTTATCTCTATTGTATTACGTTTTGTAATTTACATGAGATCTGGTTGTTATTGATTATATACGATTTATATTTATGTAGTTTAAGTTAGTTTAAGGCAGTTTAATAATGAACTAACTTAACTTTTCTCTTTTGTTTTCATAGAGTCATATTTGGCATCAGACATTTACAATGTTTTCTTTTATTCTGCGGCTTATCGGTGGCTTATGCGCTGAGAGTAAATTTATCGGTGGCTATAGTGGCAATGACTGATAAAAAGGCCGCTAATCCAGATTTTGATGTAAGTTTTAAATATTTTATTTTTAATAAACGTGCTCTTTAAACATTTGTTTTTTTATTTACAGGAATTTGACTGGACCGAGAAGAATAAATCCTTACTTTTAAGTAGTTTTTTCTGGGGCTATGTCATAACACAAGTACCAGCCGGCCAATTGGCTCGTAAATTTGGCGGCAAAATCATGTTATTGACTGGAGTATTTGTCTGCTCACTGCTAACTGTCTTG